GGACACAGGGAAAACTTCTAGCAGCTTCTCACAGAAGCCACCCCTGTAGCCCCCCCGCTACCAAGACCTTGCCACAGAAACCCCATACAGTGCCTGAAGTAGACCTTTTGCATCAGTATCCCTTTTCTTTTTCTATGTATTTTTACTGAGACATGCAACAGGCTTTCTGTTGACCAGGCTTTTCTTGAATAATGAAGTATTACTTGCATTCTTGATATACAGAGCAGAAGCTTCTTTACTTTCTTCCTTGCTTTCCATTCTTGAACAAAACTTCTGTTGTAGTGCTTTAATTTATCCCACTAACTTTCTAAGCTGTGGTGGCAACCTCAGGTTCACCCAGTTATGCTCTTTTGTTCTTGGATCTTTGTGTAGACTCAAAATGTGTTTGCAAAGTTGCTTTGTCATTGTTATTGTCTCATGTTATAGTTTCTCTTCCAGATCTCAAGCATTGTGTAAGCTGAAGTTAAAAAATATTTCAGTTACCCAGCTTTCCTAAGACTAGTTTATATTCCTCTTCTCTGATTTGGCAGCTCAATGTTACTGTGCTTTTCATTTTATAGCCTCTATCTCTTCTCAGCCAGCTTCCTTTGCAGAATCTCATTTCCCCCTGATAACACCCTTTGGGCAGACATAGAATTACTGCCACTTCTTGTCTATCCCTGCTTGAGATGCTAATCTAAACTAGGGACACTGGTGAATACCTTTTGTGTCCACAGCTGCTCCATCATGGCTTTTGGAGCCGCCACTGAATCTTCTCAGAGTTTTAACTGGCAGCATCCTTAGTGTTAGTATGGATGAGTGGCACAGGGCAATGTTTTAGAAAGCTAGATTAACGAAATAGTACCCAGTGGCAGTTAGAGCAGAGCTACTAACCCTTGATCTAAAGACTTGAAGCCACTGGTAATTTTCTCATCTACTGATGATAAAGAAGCATTTTATGTGGAAGAGCTAATCTGTTTGGTCTAACTGAAATTTCTTCGGCAGCAGCAGTTGCATAAAAAATACATCTGAATACAGTTCTTAAACCTTTTAATAAGTAATGAGTTTTAAATAGTCTGAACCAAGTAACTGTATTAGAATAATTAAGTTCATATATCATGTATATATGAAGCTCAAAAGAGGAATAACTGAATAACTTCTGTGGCCTGTGTAATGTGATCCCTCTCAGTCTCGAACTCTAGTAATATAAAACTTAAGTGTTAAACACTGCCTTCAGTTATATTCCTGTAACTTCATTAAAGCAAGTATGTGGAATGTTGTTCACTACTAGCCTGATATAAGTCACAGGATACTTACTCTGAATATTTTAGTTATATGTTAAATGAGGAAATAAATGAATCATCCTCTCCTGATTTAAGTTGTTCTCATTGTTCAAAAGATGGCAGAAACCTCTAGAGTCCTCTTATCTCCCACATCCTTTCTGTGGAGAAGTGTTTTGCTTCAACTTCCCCTTGCAGACATAGTCTTAATTAGGCTTATTTGGGAGAAGAATCCATGCTACATGCCTGCCAGTGGAGACTGCTGAGAAACCCCCAGCTGGCTTTGAGGGAAATTATGAGGAAGCCTTAGGGCAATAAACAGCAATTTGAACTTTAAAAGACTTCTTCATAATGTGGATGCCTTCATTAATGTCAGTGGGCTTTTAAACTTTTTCTAGTACAAGGAATGTTACAATTCTGCTACAAAGGGAGCTGAATCTAAGCGGGAATCTCTGAGGCACAGTGCTTCCACTGCTTGATGCCCGCTCCCGCCTGTCCAGGTTGTGCCTTTAATACACAGCATAGCAATTAGCATTCAGCTCCTCTGTTTGCAGATCTTGGGACTTGGACTTCAACATGACTAATTTCCACCAGCAGAGTATGTTCAATGGTGCGTTAGGTAAAATAAAAAGTAAAGCACTGAACAAACTCAGTATTGCATGTAATAAAGCTCATAACTGGCATTTACATGATACTGCATTTTATAGTTTTTAAGTCTCAGTCCATATATCAGGTGAACATTCTCTATTACAGGTGTGTTTCTTCTTTTTTTACAGGTAATCACAATTGGTAAACATGTGAAAGGATACCATTACATCATTGCAAATCTAGTAAGCATTTTTAACATTTGAAATACCTGTATTACTCATTTTACTGTTTATGGAAGTACATAAGCTAGTATTTTGTTGTAAACCTATTTTAGAAAATAGAAAACAGCTAAATGTCTTTATCTTTGCTAAACGAATGTGTGTGTTGAAATGGTATTTGTTTTGTTGGCTTAGTCTTTTCAGGGCTTAAATGCCTCCTGTGATATTTCCATCAGTGGGAGTGAAGGTTGCTCAGCGCCTTCAATAGAGCTTCATCTCTTTTTTTTATGTACTTTAGAAAAGTAGGGTATGGAAATCAGAAAAATAATAATAATAACTTTCCATGTTATAGGCTGATACATTCATTCAGCAAACTGATGTCTTTTCTCTCACCTCTAAAGTACTTAAAAACTACAGTTCTTAGCTTTCTTTCTGCTAGACTAGTGAGTCTCAGCTTTACGCATTTTCATTCCTCAGACTGGCTTGGTAATTAGTTTGATTTAATCTTTTCTTGAACATAGGTGATCAGACAGTACAGCTAATAGTGTTCCTAAGGGGGTCGAAGTTCAGGAAACTCACTAAATTCTGTCAGGGTAATTATTCTGAAATTGCATCTAAAGATGAAGGGCCTTTTTACTGACACTAAAGTTAACAACGCTTATTTACTGAAGCTAGGGATTCTAATCCAAAGGTTTTTCGTAACAGACAAAGCAAATTCTGCAGGCTTGAATCTCAGTTATTCTGTTCCAGAAAAGAGTTTGGGGATTTGTTTGGTGTGAGTGCCTTTAATATTTTTTTTTCATCATTTGTTCTTGGACTGTGATAGCATTTGATATAAATTCCATCAGGGCCCAGAGTGCTCTAATTTACACTCTGTCTTCCATAGTCCTTTGAGGGGCCTGAGGAAACAATGAGCATAGCGTGTCTATCACACTTCAGACATAACCCCTGTGTCCTCCCAACTTCTGATCAAAACATTTTCCCCCCTCCAGGCAGGAAGGCAGTATTCTGAAGAATCCGGTATGTTGCTAGACAGGTGCAAGGAAGCCTTATGCTCTAAAGGCCTCTTTAAAAGCAGAACAGTGGGGTTTCATTTTTATATTTATTAACTAATTTTTAGGATAAAGAAATTAGGGTATTGATATTCACAAAGCAAGCATAAAAGTCTTATAAAACTTGAAATTTTTCCTAACTGTCAGATATGTGTATTTTGCATTGCAAATGCTGTATAAATAGTATTTTGAGTCTTAAGGGAAATAAAATTTTAGAAAAATTGCCTGTTGTTGACTGGTTGGTATTTTAGCCATTCCTTTACGTTTGTAACAGCAAGCTCATAAGATCTAAAACTTACTGCATCTTGTATTTTAAAGCTGTTTAATAGCATATTTGCTTCCTACAGATTTATACAGTTTAAATGCAAATAGTGTAGATCTTTTGTGTAATATCATGTAAAATATATGTGGTAACTATTTTTAAAACTGTTCTTTCTCTGACAGAAAACTTACCTAGTACTTGATCAAACCCCATATTCTTCACTGAGTCCACCTTCTTTCTTATTTTCTTGACTGTATTAATGTTCTCCTCCAGTTGGATCAGTCAAGAAATTGATCTATTTTAAGAATAAAACATGCTGATAGATGGCGAAAGGGGTCAAAGAGTACAATGGATGTTCCTGTTCAAACTTCAGGCTCACAATAATGCTGAAGAAAGTTTCATGATCCCTGTAGAAGTGTCTGTATTAGCATGCAACAACACCATTGATGAGTATCATTAGTATGCAATAGTTAAACAGCACTTAGTACAGCAATTGTAGCAACTTCTGATAATGTGGTCTGAGGTTGCTACTTCTTTTTTTGTTTACTCAGAGCATTCATTTAAACGGAAGTGTCTGAAGTCGGCATGTCATGTAAATTCATTTGTATGGTTATTTGGGGCAAGTTAAAACATAGAACATGGAAAACAAAATTTATGTGCTGTTTGTAAGAATGAGAAGTAGTACCTTATACTGGAGTGAGGAGGCAGGGGAGATGGTAAGCCCTTCACATGCTTTAGTGTTCCTAGCAAGAAGAGGACTCAACTGTGGCTGTAACTCTGCCTGGCTAAAACTTGCTTGCCTAACTGTTGTTCATGTCAGTGCTCCCTTTCTCGATTAGGCAGTACCGTGCAAGTTAACGGGGATGTTTAAGGAAAGTAAGCATGGCATGGACAGGTCCACTCAGCCCTTGCTCTATAAAGGTGTATGTCTAGTGTTGCTATAAGAGGCATTGCTGGCTGGTGGAACCGACAACTTAATCCTGGCAGCCCAGGATTTAAACTTGGATTCTGTTTGAGGAATATGTTGGCTTACACTTGCAGTAAAAGTCATATGGTAACTCTTTATTTGTGTAAACTATTGAGAGATCTGCCAAAACTGTTGGAATAACAGACGTAATGTTTTCTGTGCCCAGGGATTTACTGATGGAGACTTGTCAAAAATTCAGTTTGGAGGAGCTAACGTCTCAGGATTTCAGATAGTTGACTATGATGATCCTCTGGTGTCAAAATTTATTCAACGTTGGTCAACACTGGAGGAAAAAGAATATCCTGGTGCACACACTAGTACAATTAAGGTATGTCTTACTTTCATTTTAAGCATGACAGATGTAGAGGAAGTGAGGGAATTGGAATGGAAAGAGGCAGAGAAAGCCCTTCAAAATCAGCTGTGCCAATACAATTTTATATTTCTCTGGGGTACTTTTAACATTCTCTATCATAGGACTGGTTGAGCAAAGATATTGCACTGTCAAAAATGTTGGAGACAACTTTTAATTTTTCTTATGTCACTGTAAATCTGCACCTGACAGCTTGTTAGGTAATTGTTTTGGATGTGATGATACATTAAGTATCTACTGAGATTTTTTGCTTTTTCTCTTTCTGTGTGTTTTGAAATGTTCTAAAGGCAAATACGTAGTCATACGTAGGCTTCCAGGGAGCACAGATCTAGCACTTTCTGATATAGCGTAATCTCCCAAAGAAATAGTAGGACAGTTGCTGTGAGACAGATGCCTAAATCCTACAAAGACTTTTAAAATTAAATGGTATGCCTGAGGTACAGAATCATGGTGTGATTTCAGGCCTGAGTGGCACAAGATACGACACTAGGCAAGTGGTTAACCTTCCTTACCTCAGTTTTCCTCTGGATAAAACTGGGATAATAGTACTTCCTTACCTTACATTATGAATATCAATTAGTGCTTGTGAGATGCTAAAAAGAATAACAGCATTTTAGTGCTGAATGATTTTTATTTCAAGTAATACAATCAGAAATTTTATTAAGAATGAGTATACTTAAATAACTCTAATATGTATTAAGCCAAAAGATAAATGACAAATGTTCTATGCATAGCTTTTTTTTTTTTTGTGCTATAGTTTGAATATGAAGCATATTCTTGATTTATAATGAGATGGATAAGAAGTTTCAGCAAGGAATGGAAGAACCATTTTTTTAATTCCTGGAACAAAAATCCTTTAAAGTGCAGAACCTTAATTTAAATTCAAAAATGAAGTCTGTAGGTTTCTGAGGCCAAATTTGCAGGGGACTTAGTCAAATCTCTGATTTTTCTGTGGTTATTTTTGTATTTTAAATCTTTATGACAGAATAAGTGAATTTCTCATTTGATGTTTGACAAAATAAAATAAGAGTCTGTGTCATGCCTTTAGATAGATTCATATTACATTTGTGTGATATATGTAATAATATATTGCCGCCATTTAAGAAAAAAGGAAGAGATGTGGCTGTGGATAATTAGTACAATTCTTTTGTCTCTGATTCTTGAGTGCCGAAATCTACTTAGCTGCCTACTAATGTTGCAGAATCATAGTCTGGAAATAATCACAGTCAAATGCATGACTGAAGTAAAAAAGTCTAACTGAAACAAAGATGCGGTTTTTCTCATTGATGGAAAAATAAATTGGTGGGACACAGTGCTGAAGGTTCTGGTACCCCTGATACTACTTACAGTAGGGGGGAAGTTGTGTGTGTGTTAGATAGGAAGTGGTTGCAATGTTTTGTTGCAGCATTAAAATCTATGACTTTATCACAGGTATTCCCTTCATTTCTTCCATGATAGGTCCTTTCAAGTCTACCATAAATTGAAAGAGTTGAAGGAGAGTATTTGGAATATTTTATGGTTTTGAGGTTTATTTTGTTATGAATAGGAAAAAAAATGAATTGAAACACTTTCATTAATTTGATTAACTTAAAACATGCCTCAAATTCAATTAAAAAGGCTGATCTGTCTTCCTTTATGCATTGTCTGCTCAAGGAATATACAGGATCGCACTGGTATTCGGTCAAGAGGTTGAGACATGTTGAATTACCAGATAATTTGTAAATCCTAGAGGTATTGATGGGGGGGAGTGGATATATATTGCAATGTTTGGAGAGATTGATTGTATCAGTTACTGTATTTCTTTGTGTAGCTTCCTATCGTTTGCCCTTGTACATGTATTACATGTAATGGCAGGTAAAAATGACAAGTAAGGGCAGAGCTATGTCACATTTCATTCCCATTCTTGAGGGAGCTAGAGGCAGAGTACAATCATAGAAATTGTAGAAACGGGGCAAGAAAGGTCTTTTGAGCAGTCAGTCACCTGGTCCATCCTCCCTGCCTGAAGGCAGATTCAGCTATACCTGTGCAGTTCCTGTGGACAGTGGTTTCACAGCTTCCCCGGGCATTCTATTTCAGAGCTTAAATAGTCTTATTTTTCATTTTTTTTGTGTAACCTAAATCAGCCCCTATATCACCTAATACATTACTCCTTTATCTGTTTCTCATGGATATGAGGAAGTTCTCCTTTTTAGCTGTCCTTCTATAATTGAAGATGGCTGCCATATTTGTCCTTGCTTTTCTCTCTGCTAAACTAAATACTCCCTTTTCCTTTGAATTTTCTGCTCTCAGATCCTATTCATCATTTTGCTCTGGAACTTTTCTAATTGGTACCCATCTTCTTTGAAATGTCAGACTGGGTACTGCACTGCATCTGAGTGCTATGCTGTAGAAATGGAAATAATGGCTTCATGTATCTCAGAGACAGTACTCCTTTCAGGGCTTCCTTTTGTGTTACTTTTTTTCATTTTTCATCACCATCATGACACTGTTGAAATATATTTATCATGAGATACACGCTACCATCCAGATCTTTTTCTGCATTGCTTTTCTGTACTGCTGCCAATTTAGACAGTCTCATACCGTATCTGTGCACTTGATCATTCCTTTAAAGTACAGGACTTTTCATCTATTCTTGTCAAAGTGCATTCCCTACCTGTCCTTCCTGAACATGCCATTCCTTCTTATGTTAATAATCTAGCCATGTTTGTTATCCTTTGCTTCTTGGAATAGTGTATAAACATCTACCATACTGAGCGGGTTAACTCACTGGTCTCCTGTTTGTCCCTTCTGTGAATAACCTTTCTCCCTTTTTGATTTTGAGGCAGTTATCCAATTTGCTACTCTTTATAAATGAGCTTTTACCACCCTCTTTGGTTTTAAGGCAGTTGTCCAAATTGTCAGTGATTATAAATAAGCTCTTGCCACTAGTTCCCATGGAATCTAGAAAGCTGTCACTGCAAATTCTGTATGAAACAGATGGGAAGGCTAATAAAAGTCCTGTATTATCAATACAGAAATGAGAGGCAGTTACATGCCACTAGCAGGTAATGTTATCCCTGGGATTGCAAATGTTACCTCACTGCAGGCAATAGCATTGCAACTGTGTTGTATTATCTTCCTTTTGTAATCCAAAAGGAAGTATGCGTTCATTTTGGATTATAAAATGCAAGTCAGTGGAATGCGGCTGACCTGATGTGACAAGACATATCACAGCATCCAAGTACAGACCTGAAAATGGAGAAAGGCACTGCTTTCTAAGAAAAAGTGCATTTCAAAGGAACATGCTTTTCAAGAAAGAAAAGCATTGTTGAAAACCTGTTCCACAGATTCCCCGAAGAGGACCTGAATCAAATTGCTGTAATATTTTGTAAATTGTGAAGATACATTTTTAATTATAAGAAACTGCAATCTTAGGATGTAGATGAGAAAGGACACTGATTTATTTGTTGCTGCACTGTACCTGTACTGATAAAAAACACTTACAAGATTTGAAGATTAAGCAGGACACTTAAAGCTAGTGTTTTGCTGCCTTTTAACAAAAGGTCTTCTCATCTTTCGAAAGTAAAGCTGATATACTGTGTACCTCAGATTAAATTTAGAATGTATCTGTTGTAACTGATGGTATTATCAGTCTCTGCATGCAGTTCTGGAAGAGCTAAGAATGTGTAGATCTTGAAACATACCATTGAGCATCCTGGTGAATTTCTTTGACAAGTAGCAAAACACAAGCCACATTTGATTTTATAAAGGCCTAATAATAGCAAGTTGAAATCCCCTGTTGATCCATTATTGTGTATTTACAAATTCGCTGGGCTTTCTGAGCCTTAGTGCTGTGTCTGGCTGTTATGTCCAAGGCACACCCTCTTGCTGTTGTGGAAGGACGCTGAAGGACAACACATCCATTCATATCCAACTGCTCCAACTTCCTAATCTGATTAACCCATTCTGTTTCTGGGCAGCCTTTGGTCTAATTCCAGGAGGAAGCTCAATTCGTACCTCTTGATGGCTAGTGAAATGTGATGAGTACTAAGCTTAAAGTACACAAGTATAAATGGGGAGAGGAGTGGCTGGAGAGCAGCCCTGCAGAAAAAGATCTGGGGGTGCTGGTCAGCAGCAGGGCTCAGTACAAGCCAGCAGTGAGCCCTGGCAGCCGAGAGGGCAAACCCCATCCTGAGGTGCACCAAATGTAGCACAACTACCTGGTCACCAGGGGTGATCATCCCGCTGTATTCCGTGTTGGTGCAGCCTCACCTTGAGTACTGTGTGCAGGTCTGGGCCCCACAATTCAAGAAGGATGTGCATGCGTCCAGAGGAGGGCAACAAAGCTGGTGAAAGGGCTGGAAGGCATGTCCTGTGAGGAGCAGCTAGTCTAGTTTGGAGAAAAGGAGGGTGAGGGGGGACTCATTGCTCCCTACAGCTTCCTGAGGAGGGAATGTGGAGAGGGAGGTGTTGAGCTCTTTTCCCTGGGATCCAGTGATAGGACACACTGGAATGGTTCAAAGCTGTACCAGGGGAAGTTTAGACTGGGCGTTAGGAAACATTTCTTTACTGAGAGGGTGGTCAAATGCTGGCACAGGCTTCCTAGAGAGGTGGTCAATGCCCCAAACCTGTCAGTGTTTAAGAGGCATTTGGACAATTCCCTTAACAACATGCTCTAGCTTTTGGTCAGCCTTGAATTGGTCAGGTGGTTGGACTGGATGATTGTTTTAGGTCCCTTCCAACTGAAATAGTCTAGTCTATTCTATAAGCCATCCTAATATGATGACCTTTTCTAAGACCAATCTTAGGCTTGGTGTGTGCAAGAAGTATCTGAGACAACTCGTGCATAAGTACAAAAACAATGCACAGCATGCAGAAAAGAATTTGGGGCTGCTTGGTTGAAAATCTAAACCATCTCAGACTTGTAGAGAATACCATTGTGCTGGAAGATGGTGACAGCTCCAGTACTCATTGCAGCT